ATACACCCTGGTTGTCAAATACTTATCTAACCTTAAATTTCCATTCCATTCCATTTTACCTTTAAATTCTTTTTATTTTTCTACTTCAGGAATGGGGTAAGACCTCTACTGGGGCTATGGCTTGAGAGGGTAAAGGTCAAAATTCAGGAAGCCCCCAATTCTAGGAGGGAGGAAGTATCCAGAGTCCCACCCCCAGCTCCTGCTTTAATGGAAGGACCTGCATATTAGGGAGGACACATTCAACTGCCTGTGCCACCCTGGCTACACGGGCACTCAGTCAAAGAAGACCAACCACTGCCTCTCCAGGCTCTGCAGCCAGGGCACCCGCAGGCCCTGGGGGAGAAGCCTCCCCCGTCGCTGAAACTATGGGATTCCTACTAGACTCTGGTAGGCTGGCACAGCCACAAGCCCTGTCAGAATGGGGAAGACAGCCCTGTGTTTAGGCCCCTGCTACTGCCTTTGTACCCCCTATCCCGGATGGGATGTCTCTCATTTTACATTTTGAAGAAAAACAAAAACCCACAAACTTTTAGCTTTAAGGAGCTTCTAATCTACAGGCAAAAAATCTAAACACTGATTTCTACAATTTTATTGCAATATCTTGTACATAAGGATATATTACAGACTCTAGGAGCTTTGTCCACTGAAGATCTATCTTCTCTCCCACCTAAGTTATAAAAGTTAATATCTTACATTTATTGAAATATACAAATTCTCTCAGCAAGCCGGGGATTTAGCTCAGCTGCAGCCTGCCTCACAAGCGCAAGGTCCAGAGTTCGATCCCCAGTACAAAAACAATCAAAACAAATTCTTTAGTGAATCCTACTTGGGTCTCCAGTCAACTACCATGCATTTAAGGACTTCTGTATTTCACTTTTTTTTTTTTGAGACAGGCTGGCCCAGGCTGACCTCTGACTCACAGCAATCCTCCTGCCTCAGCCTCACTGCTGAGATTACAGGAGTGAGCCACCACAACCAGATCCCTTTTTTTTTTCATACGGAGTCACACAACTTGGGCAAAATCCTCACTCTATCACTTAGCTAGTGTTGCAGTCCTCGCCACATTCCTAACCTCTTATGCCTCCGTTGCCTCCACTTTGTTTGCGGCAGTGGGTATTGGACCCAGGGCCTCACAAATGCTAGGGAACCACTCTACTACTACTAAGCTACATCCCCACGCAGCCCCCAACCTATCCCTCCTTTTTGTTGTTGTTGTTGTTGTTGTTTGTTAATTTGAGACTTGGCCTTGCTAAATCGCCTGGGCTGGCCCCAAGCTTGTGATCCTTCTGTGTGAGGCTCTCCATACAATCAACCTAACTTATGGGAACAGAATTAGTGTTCAGTAAGTGCCTGGTAAATGTGAGTTATTAGCTGTCATTCTAACTGCAAGCATAGAAAGGCTGACAACGTTTACAAATGAAGAAACAGAGGCCAAAATATGAAGCTATTTAGCCAGGCATAGGGGAGCATGCTTGTAATTCCAGTTACTCAGGAGGCAGGAGGCCTCAAATTTGAGGCCTCAGTGGACAATTTCCTATCTCAAAACAAAAATTTAAAAGGGCTGCCTATCAAGGCCAGGGGCCAGGGACCTAGGTTCCATCCCTAGTACTATAAAAAAGAGAGGAAGGAGGGAGGGAGGAAAAGAGGGAAAGAAAAGAAGGAAGGAAAAAGGGAGGAAATGTCAGTGCTCACCAAAGTGTAAGGTAATGGAACAACGACTTACAGTCCAAAATAATGACCAGTAAGAAGTTAAAGCACAACTACATTCAAGAGTATCACTGAAGCCAGGGGTGGTGGTGCACGCCTGTAATCCCAGCACTCGGGAGGCTGAGGCAGGAGGATCACTGCGAGTTCGAGACCAGCCTGGGCTACACAGTGAGTTCCAGAGCAGTCCGAACTACAGAGTGAGGCCCTGTCTCAAAAAAAAAAAAAAGATTACTGAAATAAGGTTACAAAGTATTTACACAATCACACAGATATCTTTCAGAGTCTATGTACTATTTAAAAATCACAAAAGATTTGTTTTTGTAAATGGTGTATACTAAAGCTGACTACTGAAATCAAGTCTAAAACATTAGTCTGTAGGGAAGAACATCAGTGCTGAGACAGAGCTCATCGTGTACATATTCTTAATCGTCTAGTTCCTACTCCAAGGCCACGAAACTTTGTAAATGATAGATCTCCTTCCCAAGTCAGTGCTTATGGGCCCCTCTTATTTCTTTGATCTGCCTTAACTTTGCATCCAAATTCTTAATGACTCCCAAATATTTTATACATGCTGTTAGCCACTGCCTAGTTTTTGCTTAAACTTAGTTTTGTCCAACATTCAGTCAGGTCACCAATGACTTCTGCACCTCCTTGTCCCAAAGCTGGTTACTGGTTTTTCCAACATTTTATGTATCTTGGACATCATGTTCCTGAAAATGGACTTTTAAAACTCTTCACTTGAGAGGAGGAAAGAAGTCACAGCAGAGACAGAATGCCTAGTATTTATTACACTATAAAAGGAAGAGATCTAGAAATTCTAGCCTAATCTTCTGGTTATAGAAATGACCCAAAGACAAATTCAGTAACTTTGCTCAATACAGTGATTACCAAAAGAATTGAGGCTTGTTGCCCACCTTGTACATACTGAATAATTGTACCTCTGCCTTACCCTAAGGAAGGGAAAGAATAGGCTGAGAATCTATTTTGGTGGGGGGTGTCTGAGATAGGGTTTCACTGTGTAGTTGAGACTGACCTGGAACTCACTATGTAGCCCAGGCTGGTCTCGAACTCGCAGCAATCCTCCTGCCTCAACCTCCCAGCGTGCTGGGATTATAGGCCTGCGCTACCACACCTGGCTAGAATCTGCTATTTTGAATAAAAAATTTGACTGTCTTTCATGTTACTCTTTAAGAGGTCTTTGATACATCAGTCTCACCTACTTCCTTGACAAATTCTTCTCATTCACCAAAAAAAAAAAAAAAACCTCATTTAGCACATGTCAGAAACTTTAGGTTTCACTCTTTATTCATTATTTCAATTAACTCCTTAATGAATCACTAATCTGTCAAAAGAAAAGGAAGAAAAAAGAAAAAGTACTGAGTTGGTGATGTAGCTCAATGGTAGAGCACCTACCTAGCACCACAAGAACATACACAAACTCCTCGCCTACCACCACCAAATAAATAAATCATCTGTCTCTCCTTGTTCTTGTTTACTAGTCCATTACTTTCTTGTGATTGAGTTCAGATTATAGGCTGGTTAGTTAGCACTCAAGCCTGAATTCCAGATGCTGCTACACCCACAGCATTCAAAAAAATCTTCATCTCACCACTGCTAATCAAGTAAGGAAAACCTCCTCCCAGTGACCTTCTCTAATAAATTACGTTGCCTACCTGCCTCTCCAAACTAAAATGAATATTCTTTGGTCCCAAGTCAATGTGCTAATGGGAAAACTACAGTAATTCTGAATTGTACAAGGTAACTAACAAACCATTAATAAGTGAAAAGTGAGTGAAGCATACTATTAGAATGCTCAAATTTAATACATATACAGAAAACCCTGTATTAAGAATTCTTACAAATAGAGAGTGCTGTTAATAACCATTATAATACACGAATGAAATTTACCATCATTTCAAAGTTCACAAATTTCTTAAATACAAGCAATTCAGGTCTAAAAGCTTATGTAAATATCTCCTATGTCACACAGGGACCAGAAGCTAAGAATACGTTAAGATGAATATAACGCAGTCTTGCCTTTACAACACAAATAATGTCAATAAAGTTTCTTCCACTTTAGTATGGACTTTCTTTTACATTGCTTTTTTGTCCCTCTTGCAGCTATTTCCATCAGCCATGATTTTGTTCAGATCACTTGTACTGTATAAGACAGGTTAAAGACTTTTTTTTTTTTAACGAGGGAAAAATTCCCTGCTCCACCAGTCTGACAAGACAAAGGAGAAAAGACTGGGAGTCAAGAGGAACTTCCCTTCTGGTGTCCCCTGTGGAGAAATCAATCACCAATGGAGCACGCTTGTCTTTCAAAGCCCATCTAAGCAAGTTGTGGAATAAACACCAAAAATCAGTAGGTCTCTTCTAAAAGCGGCATTTAAACGGGCAAGCCACATCCAGTTTCTCCTATTTTATTTGTAGAAGCAACTCTTTGCAGCATGAAAGCATCTTATTAATAACACTCCAGAATAACGTTGGTATTTAAAGTCTAAAAACTTACTGATCAGAAACCTGCACCAAGGCAAAGCTAAAACTCTAATCAGGGTGAATCACAGCAGCCACCTACTCCACCCAAGCGTCATTCACGCTAAGAATGGACAGCCAGTTCAAACCTGGAAAGCTCTCCTGGCCTCCCTATCATGTCAGAAATAAAATCATTCCAAAGCACCAGACCTCAAGTGTAGCGATTCAATAGCGAGAGAATGTTGCTATCGACCAAAACTGACCAGGACATTCTGTTCTTCAGATTTGGCCGAGCCCTTCGCATTTATTGCCTGGCCCTCCTCCCCCCTTCTCACCAGGGAAAGGCTGAACAGATAACTCCTCCTTGAAAAACTAAGTGCGTTTCGATTTTCCATTACTGGATGTGGGAGCATAACCTACTACGGAGTCTCTATGGCAAAGGTCTCTATCACTTCTTTCAGGTGCTGAAGCCTGTGAACTGAGTAGAAACCTGTAAAGGATTGACGGATACTCTGCCAGAACAATTTCCCAATACAAGATTAGGAACCATTTTCAGTCTTGAGCAAACCATCTCAGATGTTTCAAAGTTTTAGCAACCCAGCATCTGGTAGACTTACTCACCCTTGGAAAAGTAGCTCCTTTGCGTCTTTAGCACTGAAACACCCCAGTAAGGCAGCCAGGGCTTGCTCGCCTGTGCAAACCCTCGATCGGGGAGACTCTAGGTAAGCCCATGCCCACCAAACTCTCACGGAAGGGTCAAATCGCACAAAAGGGGGCGCCCGGCCGTCCCTCGCTCCCGCACCCGGACCCGGACTCACCAGGACCGTGGTGCAGATGGACCGCAATTCCGACTCCACTTTCTCCCGATAGTCCTTAATCAGCTGCAACTTCTTGTCGGAGGTGTCGGTTTTCTGCTCGATGCTGGAGATGACCCTCCAGGCGGACCGGCGGCCGCCGACCACGTTCTTGTAGGCCACCGAGAGCAGGTTGCGCTCCTCGTTGGACAGCTCGGCGCCCTGCTCTGTCACTGCCTTCATGCAGGTGGCCATGTCGTCGTAGCGCTCGGCCTGCTCGGCCAGCTTGGCCTTCTGGATCAGCTCGGTCTTCTCCATGGCGCTGGTGGCTGGGGGACCGGGGCGCAGAGGGCTAGGCTAGCGAGGGCGAGCGCCGACCCGGATCGGGAGGAGTCCGCCTCGAGAGCTGGAGGG